CGCTTCTCGCGCAGCAACTTCGGCCGCTGCGCTAGCAAGCTCGCGGGGATTGGCGACACGCACAGACGGAAGCGGTCGCACGTCGTTGGGGGCAAATTGTCCTTCTGTGGCCGCAGAATAAAGCGGAGACGCACCGCACCATTTGCCGAGATAGTGCCTATGTTCGGCTTTGTGAAGTATCGATGCGGCGTCTGCGCCTTGATCTTGAAGACGCACGGGAGTGTTCCGGTGTTGTACAGCACGATGGTGTTCTGCACCGCCCGATTGCGGTGGGGTGGGGGAAAGAAAAGTTGTGTCGGTTCGACCAGCACCGATACAGAGCTTTCAGTTGAGGCCTTCTTCTTGGGAAAAGCATCAGTAGTAGCGTTAGCAGCAGAAGCAGCGTCTGGCTGGTGTGGTGATTGAAGTGCCGCCTTCTTAGGCTGCTGCACTGTCACAGTGTTCATCACGCCCGAGTACAGTGATTTTTCGCACGTATTCCTTCTCCCTTACCACTGATAACTAACACACGGATCGCGCGAGGGTCAATAAAAGGAGAGAGCGATAGCTGTGAGGGTGTGTGTGTGTGCGTGTGTGTCTGTTGGAATATCCCAAAAAGAAGCAACGTGAACCCGCAGGCACAACGGCGACACGCCAGGAGCAGTCAAGGCTGTGGAAGAAGCGAAGCACAAGCAACACAAGACGGAGCAGAAGGGTCAGGGGGGAGGAAGGTGTGAGTCGCATGCAGCACACACACACACACACACGTCCACATATATATATATATATATATATATATATACGTACAGCACCACAACGTGATGTATACAAGCAAACAACAATAACACAGAAACCAAAACAAAACACAAAAAAGTTGATGGGGTGGTAGCGCAAAACATACACACACACACACACCACATAGCCACATCATCATTATCATAACCACCCTCATCAATACTCAGCATCTATGCAGGCGCAGCCAATTGCACAGGCATGCAATCACAAAGGCGCCCTCACCCACTTCATCACCACCCACTGCCTCTCCTTCTCAGCCGCTCTCAACGGACCCAACAGGTGCTGTCAACCCACTCACGTCAATCATCACACCGCACGCCATTGCAGAGCTCCCCCTTTTCGCTTCCGAAATAAGGAACAAAGCCCCCAGATTCAAGAATCCGTACATGTCGTGCTCCGGAATAAAAAGACAACAAAAAAACAATACGAGTAAACCAAAAATATATGTGCAACAGTGCCCAAGTGAGGTGAGGAGCAGAGTGTGCTGAGACGGCGATGCCAGAATGGAGCCAACAACAATGGCAATAACAACAAGAGAAATACAGCAGGAGGCGACACATGTTGGTTCCAGGCTGCGAAAAGGTTTCGGGAATTTCCTCGCCATCGCATCACATCACATCCGCCACCATCGTGGCAGCAGCACAACCGGTATTGCCGCCTTGCTTTCACATTCTGGCCTCTCGCTCTTCCTCGTTCCCACCCATCATGCATATGTTTTGGTGTTCATTTCTGTACATTTTGTTCTACCTTTACATAGAACACATGCTTTT